CACGCTTACGGGAGCTGACGTCCGTGTCCTAGTTCCATCTCTTCTCCTTTCTCAGGTGAGGCAGGCTGCCCTGTCAGAGTTGGGGTCTGCTTTCCTGAATTTGGTGGTGAGTTTTGTGGAGCGCTCTGATTTCACCCGTGACGATGTAGGGGTGTGTTCAGGTTGCCTGAGGCCATTGTGACCCTAGTTTTCTATGTGGATGAGGCCACCCACTCACAGCCCTGTTGGAGGATTAAGTGAGAATGTATATAACCTGCTTGGTGTATTATTAACTTCTATGAAGGTCCATGTCTTAGTCATCTATTGCTGTGTAATGAGCTGCCACAAACTTAGCAGCTTCAGGGAAAGCACATTTCCGCAGGCCAGGCGTCCAGGCCAGCCTTAGCTGGGTCCTCGGCTTTGGAGGCTCTTAGAAGGCGTCATCAGGTTGTTATCCGGGGCTGGGGTCTCAGCTGAAGGCTCAGCTGTGGAGAGATCCACTGCTAAGCTTCCAAGCGGTTGCTGGTACAATTCCAGTCCTCAGGTGGTTTTATTTTCATTTTTATCTTTTTAATCCTCGCCCGAGGATATTTTTTCCATTGATTTTTGGAGAGAGAGTGGAAGGAAGAGGAAGAGACAGAGAGAAAAACACCGATGTGCAAGAGACACATCGATTGGTTGCCTCCTGTATGCACCCCAACCAGGTGCTTGCAACCTTGGTACATGCCCTTGACTGGAATTGAACCTGGGACCCTTCAGACTGTGGGCTGAGGCTCTGTCCACAGAGCCAAACCGGCTAGGACTCGAGTGGTTTTAGATGAAGGGCCTCAGTTCCGCTCTGGCTGTTGGCTGGAGGCCACCCTCCGATCCTGCCACGTGGGCCTGCCCACCCTGGCAGCTGGCTTCATCAACGCCAGCGGGAGAGACCCCATGGAGAGACTTTACTAGCAAGACAGAAGTCACCGTCCTACGTAACTTGCTTGTACAAGGACATCCCATCTCCTTTGCCATATTCTTTTGGTTCAAAGCAAATCACAGGTCCCACCCCTGCTCGGGCGATTGGGGGGTATATGAGGTGAGTACCAGGAGGCGGGGTCATTGGGAGACACATCAGAAGCTGCCACACCCTAACCCGTTTGGCTCAGTGGATAGAGTGTCTGTCTATAGACTGAAGGGTCCCAGGTTCGATTCTGGCCAAGGGCATATGCCCTGGTTGCAGGCTCGATCTCCAGTAGGGGGCGTGCAGGAGGCAGCCAATCAGTGATTCCCTCTCATCATTGATGTTTCTATCTCTCTCTCCCTCTCCCTTCCTCTCTGAAATCAATAAAAATATATTAAAAACAAAAAAAGAAGCTGCCAGGTACAGACCCTTATTTTAGGGAGAGAGAACAGCATGATGATTAAGAGGGACGCTGTCCAGGCCACTTGCACTGACTTCAACATCTCAGATCTGCCCTCCTGGCCCTCACTCCCTGTGTCACCCACGGCAGGTCCTGGGCCCTCCGCAGCTGTACGGCTTCCCTCAGCATCACTGGGACCCGAGTGAGAGATCACCTGTAAAGCCTGGCAGAATGCTACGTCGTCAGTAAATATTAGCTGCTGGCTTTTTCTTTTTATCATTGTGTATTTTGGGCCTTTTCTTTAAACACCATCCGGTCTTTATGAAATTATAGAAGCAAGTTACGTAAGACTGAAACAGAATTTTAGAAGCTAGTTACATAGGACTGAAACAGAACATCCCGGTGGCTTCAGACTTGGTCCTGCATGTGGAAATCCCAGTCCTGTGGGTACTTTCCTGGGCACGGTGCTGAGGACTGAGGGGCACCGCCATGGTGCCCCCCCAGATGATGGGGCCGGCGGGAGTCCCTGCCGCTCCCCTCCCAGGTCTCGGTGCCTCTCTCCACCCGGCAGCAGCCACTCTCCCTGCAGAGGCCTGGCCACGGTGACCAGGGCTGCGGCCACCGAGCATGCGGCCAGCTGTGCCCTCCCAAGAAACGGCGTTTCTGGTTGGGGTCCCGAGGGCAACCTGTCACGGCATCAGGTCCTCCCCAGAGCTGAGCAGGCAGATTTGGAGATGGGCCCTTCTTTTTTTGATTTTTAATTTTTTAAATATATTTTTATTGATTTCAGAGAAGAAGGGAGAGGGAGAGAGAGATAGAAACATCAATGATGACAGAATCATTGATTGGCTGCCTCCGGCATGCCCCCTACTGGGAATGGAGCCCACAGCCCGGGGTCTGTGCCCTTGACTGGAATCGAACCCGGACCCTTCAGTCCACAGGTCGATGCTTTATCCACTGAGCCAGCGGTTCTCAACCTGTGGGTCACGACCCCTTTGGGGGTCGAACGACCCTTTCACAGGGGTCGCCTAAGACCATCCTGCATATCAGATATTTACATGACGATTCATCACAGTAGCAACATTACAGTTATGAAGTAGCCACGAAAATAATTTTATGGTTGGGTCACAACATGAGGAACTGTATTTAAAGGGCCAGAAGGTTGAGAACCACTGCACTGAGCCAAACCAGCCAGGGCAAATGGGCCCTTCTTGTCTGCATGCTCACCTCGGCCAGAATCATGCCAGGCAGACGACTTGCTGAGTTCGCTTGTCCCTGATCAGAAAGCCCTGCCGTCTTTTCTTGTCTCCCTGTCCCTTCTCCTCTGTCCCTCTCTGCTTTGCTTTCTCTGCTTGCTCGCTCCTGTGGGCTTCAGGGACAGGGACTGTTTGAGGAAGGTCACTGCTTGGTCCCCCACAAGCTGCCCTCTTTCCTGACCAGAGCACCTCTGCCTTCCCTGTCCCCCCCCCATCCTTCACACCCAAAGATCCTGTTATTGGTCCCACCGTTGTCCCCCGGGGGCTGTGGGAGGACATTCTGGAGTTACCCTGTGCCATTCACAGTCAGCCGTGTCGTTCTGGAGGAGAGATGCTGGCTGTATCCGTCACTTCCTCCATTATTTTCTAGATCTTCTGATACTGTCTAGTGTGAGGACCTCCCATTTTCTTTGAGGATAAAAACCTCCTGGAAGTCTTGTGAAGAATAAGCTACTCAGGCCCCTGCCGGGGAGAGCCAGGTTCCTGGGGGCGAGGCTGGGGCCGGGACACTTGTATTGGTAGTTGAAGTGCCCCAGCTAATTGCCATCGGAGGTCTAAGGTGCTGCAACCCGATCTCTCTCCCTGGGTGTGGAGGGCACGAGGGAAGGTCTGGAAGCCCCATCCTTCTGGGGGGGGGACTTGTTAGTGCTCTGCACAAGGGAGGCAGGGTTTTAGCACAATTCAGTCCTTTAAAAACCCCTTCCCACCGCTCCCTCCTCTCCCGTGTGCCGGAGAATCCCACGTGATCTAGTGTCTTCCTCTGCGGTGGGGAACTTACACAAGTAGCAAAATACGCTGCCTGGGCCAGCAGCAGCACAGCTGGGCCTCCAGATGTCAGCTTGCCCACGTGGGCTGGGTTGGGAGAGCTGTGTTCATGCGCACGCGCCCCCCAGGCTGCCCTCGACAGCAGATGCGGCAGCTGCAGGGAGAATATTCCTGTTGTTTCTACAGCGCTCAGCCTGTGCTGGAGGGTGTCGATTAGGGTTGAGTGAGTGGGTGAACTCGGTCGCTGTTGGTAGCCCACATTCCCAGAGGCACTTCTCCTGCTCCCAGGACCTAGAAGGAAAGATCCAGGGGCCAGGAATGCTGGTGCCCGCGCTCTGGAAAGCAGGCCTCGCGAAGCAGCTGTGTTGAGGGGGCACAAGGAGAAATGGTCATGCCAACGGGTTCTGCGTTTCTCTGCACCCGCGGTGGGTGGTTGCTGCCCGTATTCCTGGTGGGGTTCAGGGCCCCTTGGTGGATGCACAGAGGGCACCTGGCTCTCCTGGGAACGTTTCCTTAGAAAGAGCTTTGTTCCCAGTAACCAGCCTCCTCGTCACCACGGTTCAAAGGCCGCTTTGCCTAAAACCACTCCATCTAGAGACCAGAGTTCTTCACTTTTCCCTTTTGATTTTTTTTGTCTCCCTTTGGGTGCCCTTTTATGTCAATCTCTTTTGACATTTTAAGGATTAAAAAAATTAATTTGTCTAAGTTACCGTTGGATTTAATTTTTACAGAGTACTTATGAACTCTGTAGCATTTTAATGAATGATGGGGTGGTTTTTACGTTCTGGTGGCAATCCCCCCGCACTCCCACCCCCCACCCATTTTATCTTATTTTGAACACTTAAGGATTTTTGAGCCAGTTTGCCTGAAGATCTTTTTTTCAAAGATAAGTATTTTGTAGTGAGTCTGTTTCATTTTGTTACTTTGTAAATAGAAATTTAAAATATGAAACAGTGAAATCTATTATAATTTTTATACATCTGCCTTCTCTCTTAATGCTCTTTGTCAAGATCTAACTAATTCTCCACTCAACAGAAAAATAGATAATGTGCTAACAGTTAATAATCACATGAAGAATTGACAGGTGTGTGGAATGAAAAAGCAGCAATGTAGAGGCAAGAATAGCCAAAGAGAAAGATTTGATGAATTTTACATAAAACTCAAAGGGTCCATAAGTTGGAAACATAAAATTTTAAGGCTTGGCCAGTTATGAATGAATGCATCATTCATAAAATGCTTTGGATTTGAGAAACACTTAACAGAAATAGAATATGAGGTTACAAATGGTTAGCAAAATCCTAACGTTAGTGCAGAATCTCCCACAATAAATTTGTTGCAAATTCCTAAAAATGCCAACAGGATATCAGAAAAAAAATAGGACAGTTGACGGGGTGCAGAAACTCTCACTGGACAAGGAGTTGCATTTTAAGCGAATGGATTATTATGCCAGCTGCCCACAGCCCCTGGGTGTTAGGTTTCCGTAAGGACTTCTCTGGTGTCTCTCCCCTCTCTTCCCTTTTCTTATCTTAATTGTCCTCATGCATATGTATCTTTCCCTATAAGCGATTAAAATCTTTGGGAATAGTAGGTGGCTTATAAATAATAAATTATACATAAAGTCACGCGCCATCCATTCACGCGCCCCTCTCTCGTCTTGCAGAGAACAGCCCATATTCACCACACGCGCGCACGTCTTCCAGATTGACCCCACCACCAAGAAGAACTGGGTGCCTGCGAGCAAGCAGGCTGTCACCGTCTCCTACTTCTACGATGTCATCAGGAACAGCTATCGGATCATCAGTGTGGATGGAGCCAAGGTACCACCCCACCGGCTGATTTTAACATTCACAGTCGCGTATGTTTCATCTAAAGCAGCGGTTCTCAACCTTCCTCATGCCGCGGCCCTTTCATACAGTTCCTCATGTGGTGGTGACCCCCAACCATAAAATTGTTTTCGTTGCTACTTCATAACTGTAATTTTGTTACTGTTATGAATCGTCATGTAAATATCTGATATGCAGGATGTATTTTCATTGTTACAAATTGAACATCATTAAAGCATCGTGATGAATCTCAAAAACAATATGTAATTATCTATGTGTTTTCCGATGGTCTTAGGCGACCCCTGTGAAAGGGTCGTTCAACCCCCAAAGGGGTCGCGACCCATAGGTTGAGAACCGCTGATCTAAAGCCAGGTGATGGATTTGGAAAGTGGAGGGAAAAGGATGCACCCCAAATCCTGCCACCTTCACACAGGTGTTATTGTGATAATGTCTTATAATCACATATCCTGCTTTTCTTTTTCCATTTAAAATTATGGCAAATGAAGAAAAAAGATTTCCCTGTTACCATATTGTCTTTATAACTCGCATTTCGATGCCCATGTAATCATTCCACCAATGCTCTATAATGTCCTTAATCTCTCCCTTTATGGTTAGATACTTAAGTGGCTTCCAGTTTTTTACTACTATAGATAATGAGCATCTTCATGCAACCAATGTCCTCATCTGATCATCGAACAGACCTATTGCTTTCTTTTGGACATTTCCTTAGGATGGATTCCTGGAAGTAATATATTAACACTTTATAGATCTTTTTTAAATATGTTTTTTTATTGTTGATAGTATTACCGATATCTCCCATTTCCTTCCCTCTTTCCCCCCCTCCTCCCACCCTTTACCCCCAAACCCCAGGTCTTTATTTCCCATGTCCATGGGCTATACATATTATAGGTATAGAAGTTCTTTGGTTTAGCTCATCTCGTCCCCAACCCGACCTGTCAGTCTATTCCATCCCTCCCTGCTTCGGATCTTATTTTGTTGATCAGTTCATTTTGTTCATTCGATTCCACAAATGAGTGAGATCATGTGATATTTTTCTTTCTCAGTTTGGCTTATTTCACTTAGCATAATGTTTTCTAGGTCTATCCATGCTGTCCCAAAGGGTAAGGGATCCCTCTTTTTTATAGCTGCATAGTATTCCACGGTGTGAATGTCCCACAGCTTTTTTATCCACTCATCTACTGATGGGCGCTGGGGCTGTTTCCAAATCTTAGCTATTATAAATAACGCTGCTATGAACGTAGGGGCACATATATCCTTTCTGATTGGTGTTTTGGGGTTTTAGGATATATTCCCAGAAGTGGGATCACTGGGTCAAACAGCAGTTTCACTTTTAATTTTTTGAGGAAACTCCATACTGTTTTCCACAATGGCTGCACCAGTCTGCATTCCCACCAGCAGTGCACGAGGGTTCCCTTTTCTCCACATCCTCACCAGCACTTGTTGTTTGTTGATTTGTTGATGATAGCCACTCTGACAGGTGTGAGGTGATAACTCATTGTGGTTTTAATTTGCATTTCTCTGATGATTAGTGACTTTGAACATTTTTTCATGTGTCTCTTGGCCATTTGTATGTCCTCTTTGGAGAAATGTCTATTCAACATGTTATAGCTCTTGATGGATATTGCCAACTTGCTCCCCAAAGAGGCCTTTCTTCCAGCATGTCTGAGAATGCCACCCTTGCCAGCACTGGGTATCATATCTAGTCTGGTTTTGGTGTTCTTAGGCACAGGAGTTGATTTTAATAAGTGATTTGGAATATTTCTTGAAATACATTTTTTCCTGGTTACTTTCATTATTCTCTCTGCCTTGATATTTTTGCTACATTATATGGAAGCAGAATAAAAAGGGATAGCAGTAGAAGTATCACTAGATTTGCAAAAGAAAAAATGTCCTGCTGCTTTATAATCTGTTTTCATCCTGCTGGACATTCTTACATGGATTATCTGCTGTCAAATGAAATGTATCTGAGGCTGAATTTCCCTCTAAACCACCTCTTCATCTCCATTTCTCAATCACTTGGACTAAAAAAAAAGAAAAAAAGGAGGTTGGAAGAAAGAAAGGAAAAGAAAGAGCCTAGCGTTGGCTGGTTTGGCTCAATGGATAGAGGGTCAGCCCATGGACTGCAGGGTCCTGGGTTCAATTCTAGTCAAGGGCACGTACCTCGGTTGCAGGCTCAAGCCCCTGCCCTGGCCCCGGGCCCAGGTGCGTGCAGGAGGCAACCAATCGATGTGTCTCACATCAATGTTTCTCTCTGTCTCTCCCCATTCCCTTCCACCCTCTCTAAAATCAATGGGGAAATATCCTCAGGTGAGGATTAACAAAACAAAACAAAAAAATGAAAGAGCCTAAAGTCATTCCCTTTTGAATTGGTCAGAGCAATTTTTTTGTGTCTCACATTTATGCCTGATATTTTGTTTCAAGGCCATAACTCTTTTCCTGGAACAGTTTTGCTCAGAGCTTTGCATAGTCTCCGGACTGGCCTCCTCTCCCACCTGTAGTCCATCCTGCCCGCGGCCTCCAGGTCAGCACTCCCAGGCAGTCGGCAGCAGCGGGCTGGAGGCTGGGAGTAGAATGGGGCCTGCTCATAGGCTCCCGCCTCAACCTCAACCGTGGACCAGAAGGCTCTGAAAGCCTCCATTGGAGGACCAGCCCCTTCCACCCCCAAGGAAAGGCATGAGAGCCTGCTGGTGCCTCCTATCTCTCTTTTTATAAAATATATTTTATTTATTTCAGAGAGGAAGGGAGAGGGAGAGAGAGCGAGAGAAACATCAATGATGAGAGAGAATCACTGCCTCCTGCACGCCCCCCCGGGAACTGAGCCCACACCCCGGGCATGTGCCCTGACCAGGAATCCAACTGTGACCTCCTGGTTCATGGGTCGACACTCAACCACTGAGCCACACCAGCCGGGCTGATGTCTTGATGAGGCTTCTGTTTTAAGGCAAAATTCTCCCCTCAGCCTGTGTTCTCTGGGCCTCCTCTTAGATAAAGGCGGCTTAGATTAAGGCGGCTTGGCCCCGGGATACTTTCTCGTCCTCCCAGTTGCCACAACCCTTCCTCCGTGGCAGGAAGGGGGCCTAGAGTCCTCACTTTACAGCTGAGGTCAAGGAGAGGCGGTGCCCGGCCTGGCTGGCTGCTGCCTGTGCCCAGGTCCTTCGGGTCGCAGCAGGCGTCCCCGGCTGGCACCACGTCGTGCAGGCCGTGCGTCGGGTAGAAACAGCTGGCCTGGCCAGCATGCCCACGGAGACGCAGGAACTGGTGCTCCCGTCTAAGCAAGCAGGACGGCAACACTGGGCCGGGTTCTGGTGAGCGTGCAGGATGCGTGAAAGGGCCTGGCACGCGGCAGGCAGCACTTGTGTTGGGTTGAATGTCTGAAAGCTGCCTTTATTTTTTTTTCTTCTGGGAGAGATGGCGATACCACGGTTGTATTGTGTTGCCACGTGCCCGCTCTGGGCCTTTGAGCCGGAGTCTCCGGACTCCGCCAGGATGTCCCGATAGGGTTGGTGAGTCAGGCCCCCCGGCTTCCCTTTATCTATCGATTCTGTCACTTCATCCGCCATCCGTCAGGCGGGGTTTGCACTGTTGTCAGCTGAGTTATAAGTACAGATAAAGCTGCTTTCTTAGAGGAAGTGCTTCAGCCCCGTTAGCTGGGTTTTCAGTAATCTGTCAAAGTGTCAGCCACGGCACCGCGCGGCTCTGCGGTCCCGAAGGCCGTGACAGCTGCTGGGTCCCGGCCAGACGCGTCAGCGGTGAGAAATCAGAGGGGTGCAGGGAGGTGGGCTGACCCCTCGCCGCAGAATGGGGCTAATTTAGACTCAGTGTGGGGGATCCATCAAGTCCCACAGTCACCTAAAAAGTGGGCATTGGAAACCCCCGCCATGGGGGCCCCCTGGGATTCAGAGAGGGAGCCCGCGGCTCTCAGACCACCCCTCCTCTGGCACCTGCCGCCTGCCCTTCCCGGAGCCCCCCCAGAGTTCCTGCCTTACCACCAGGCACACGACCACGACAGGGCCGCCTTCTGCAAAAGGGAATATTTTCTGTGGGAGCAAAGGCCCAGGTGGGAAGGTGGGGGCGGGTGGGCCTTAGTCATTTAGTTACTGTGGCTGCCACTTGGGGCCAAGGCTGGGGAGCAAGGGCCCTGCCCTGAGGACGGGAACAGAGCACTGGACGCCACCTCCGCCCGCTGGACCTTTATATAAAACCAGCAGCCTAGGCCTAGATCGGACCCTGTGCCTGCAGCGGCCATAAGCTCAGCCGGGGTGTGGAGAGTGGAGAGGAACCCAGGATGGTGACCCCACAGGGTGGTAGCAGCTGTTACTGTCTAGTATCTACGGCCTCCCCCTCCCCACCCACGGCCAAGTTCCCAACCCCCCAGCCCCAGCCTCCGCCTGCCTGCATAAGCCAGACGGACCTCCTTCCTTCCCAGGGACTGGAATAGGGGCGGTGTCCCCAGTGATGCATTGACAGGGCTCTTGTCTGCTGCCCTTGGCCGCCCCCTGACCCCCCAGTACCACATCGGGACAACACACTCTGTTTTAGGCCTGTGATCCCAAATGTTGATCTGAACTGAGATGACAGATGCTTCTAGGCTTTGGGGCTGTGTCCTGAGCCTCGGGCTGCACCTCTGCCTTGGGCAGGTCTGGGGCCCAGGTCCTGCCGCTCCCTGTCGGCCCGGCCACATCAGGCCCATGACCTGGCGCCTCTGCCTGCTGCTCCTGGGCCAGCTGCCCCCCCAAGGTGGGAGGCCGGGAGGGAAGCTGCCCCCCCACCCAAGTGGAAGTTGCTCGTGTGGAAGGGACTTGGAGGTCGTTGTGAGCAAAGGTCACAGCACACTGAGCTGCTGAGTCAGCCACAGGTAGCCCGCGGGGCACAGTCTCGTGGCGGGAGGAGGGGCAGCCAGCGGCTCCAGCAGCTGTCGCTCCACACAGGGTACCGAGGGCAGGCTCCTCGCTCGGGCCAACCCTGCGCCGTGT